GGCGTTAAAAGTCCTTGCGATAGTAGCTTGTTTGTTAATCTACCAGAGCCAATTTGATGATGTTCAGTATCTGCAGTATAAATTACTATTAATTTTCTTTATGTCATAAGTTTAGTTCAGTATAAATATTTAAGAACATAAAAATATTAAATAATACTTGTTTTAATATTCAGTAAACTACCTTCTATAGGATCTTCGATTATCAAAAATGGGCTTTTATACGCTAAAATTAAATAAAAATGTTTTAGTATGTAGTCCATTTTTATATTCTACTTTGGATATGATTACTTAATTGTAACTAATATTATAATTTTAAGATAAGTATACCTTTATTCCGGAACAATATTTTCAATTTTTTTATTCCCATCTCAATGATTTTGTCTAATTCTTGTTGTATCTCTCTAATGTCATTTCCATCCGGAAATAAATCAGTAAATCGGTAGCTAAATGTACAAATAATTATAAGAATTGATAAGTATGTACAGAATATAATAAGATTAAAATAAAAAAAGAGTGTGAATAATTTGAAAATTAATTTCTCTTACTTGAGAATAAAAGTTAATTTGAACATAATTAAAAATACTGTTAAAGTGTAAGTAATTTAATGTATCATTTACCTGAGCCAAAGATAAATGTCCAACACATCAAATACTGTTTCCAAGTGTATGAGATCAGCAATATTTTTTGGCACATCTAGAGGCCAATTAATTTGTTGGCGCATCCACTGAACAGTTATTTTTTCATTTTTACTACACTGTCGTGCATACTGCAAAATATATATCAGGAATTTTAGAATAAAAACTAAATATAAACTATTCCGACTTACCTTTATGAACATGTTGCATGCAAATGTCATTTTCTTATTAATGGGTGCACAACAAAATGTATATTTTGCACGAAGGTTTAAAGGAATATGGTCTATCATATTAGACAAAAATTTAAAATCATCTAAATTACAGATAAAATAAAGGGAATCATCAACTTCACTTAACGCAACGAAAATATCCTGAAAACAAAAAAAGATATAATAATTTTCGTAAACTATAAATAATATATTAATAATTACAATAAGATTCGAGAGTGGTGTATTCGGCAAATGGTAGGCATATAATTCAATTTGTTCAGCGGTCGGATGCAACCCCACGTGTGTTATTATATCTGGATTTCCTTCCAACAATTTCTTTAACACTGAAAGATCTTCGTCTTTAAAAGTTGTAACATAACCCTATAATGTAAAACACAGCTAATAGCATCAATTCTTATAAAAGATCAGAATTACTGTTTCTAATTCAATTTAATTACTTACACATGACCAATTTGATTTATAACGACCTGCACGCCCCGCTATTTGTAGAGCAGATGATACAGAAATAATATCCATTTCTTTAGTACCGTTTTCGTTTGTAGTTGGCCGCTGAAGAGAATAAAATATAATTCTACGAATATGCCTGAAATAACAAAATAAAAAAGTCTGAAATTTTTTTTATAAAAAAACAAAATTCTTATATAAACTTACAAATTAAGGCCCATTCCTATTGCATTAGTAGCGACTAGAATTTTACATTCATTTTCTGGATCATTAAATTTAGAAGCCTGCGCAAGTTTTGTACCTGGTGGCAGACTACCATATATTACTGCTACTTGCTTTTCCAATTTTTCAAGAATCTGCGATACATGAAATATGTCGTTTTTGTTAAAACAAACTATACAATCTCCCGGTTTCACGTTGTTAAGATTTCGGAGCGCAGTATCCTCTATTTTAAGATCAGTTAATCTTTTATAATCATGTACTATTACAGTTTCTCCCATTGTTTTACATATAGACTGTACCTACAGAATAATATAAATTTTATGTAAGAGAGAATTATAAGCTATGGTTAACAGATTAAAAAACAAAAATTGTTAAATTTACAATAGGTATAGCAGCTTGTTCACCGCATAAATGTATTTCATCTGCAGCGATACCCAGGAGTGCTCTTGTCCATGCCCAACCTCTACTTGTGTCACGTAACATTTGAATTTCATCAATTACAGCTACTTCAACTATAAAACATCATTGTAAATATATAATTAAAATTTTATTAACGGAGGAAAATACTATGTCTTTATAGTCACACAAGCAATTAATAGTTTATATAAAAGTCTGGAAAGAAAAATAAACTTTACCCGTGTTGAAGAACAATAGAAAAGTGTTATTTATGTATCTATATAATAGAAGAAGATAGTAAAATCCAAAATATTAAACTTAACATTTCTTAAAATATTTCTCAATTCTTTGTGGAGAATTAAGTAATAAATGTAATTGTATTCAAGGTGTTGAAAAAATATTATGTGTTTAATACTTACATATGTTTTCTACATTCACCATTTCTACAGAACATGATACATGACTGGCAGGAGACATTTCATTTTTGGCATATTTTCTCTCTTCTCCTGTTATTAAGTCACACGGTGTGCCCTGCAAAGGTATATATTTACATTCATTGAAAAACTTTTAATCTTTATTACTAACCATAGAATTACATTTAGTAAAAATTTCAACAGCTAATAGTTTCAGTGGTCCACAGTAAACACCAGACTTTGCAGACATAAACCTTTGTAATGCATGATAAGTTTTACCACTATTCGTAGGTCCAGAATGAAATATTATTTTTCTCTTTTTTGACCTTGCTATGGGATACCTAAAAATAATAAACATATACTCACACATGCGTACATATATATGTTTATATATATGAATTTTGCTATGATGAATAAACATTGCATTTATTTAAATAGTATTATTGATATCAATCATTACCAACTGGTGGGATTTCGAAGATCACTGATTTTCTTAAGATCATCCATGCAATCAATATGTGGGTATAACTGTTTGGTATAACGTAAAAAGTAAGGAAATATATCAGTAACATTTCCATTGCTTTTAATAATATCGTTCAATATAACATGAAGATCTGTAGGTAATGTTTTCGATGTCATACAAAAAGTCCGAAAAGCAGTCAAAGCTTTTCTCAGGATAGTCTCTGAAAAAATAAGATGATTAGGATCATAATATGCTAAAAATTAAATTTTCAATATAAATTATACTAAACATTACAGTTACCATCTATTCCATAAGATGAAGCTAATTGTTTTAATGATTCATTCCTCGAAAAAAGAATCAATGTTTTATTGATGTCATTTTTATTTAGATTACCAGTTAGTTCAGCACCAATGTCTACATTACTTAACTCACACTTAACAGGAGCAGGATGCACTAATGAAGATATATTCTGCCTTTTCTTACTGTATTTTCTCACATTCGAATAAATTGTCATCTTGGGATTTAACTGTCTATAAATTATATAAAAAAAAGTTAGTTTGTGCAATAATTTTTTAAAAAGCTATAGATACAAAATATAACAAAACCTTAGAAACGATGATATCCATACATTATTACGCAGTTTTAACTGATCTATAGTAATGTGTCTTAGCGTAATCATTTTTTAAAACAATTTTATTAATTTTCATATTCTAAAATGTTGCAGTTAAGAAAATTGAACCTCGTGGGTTAACCTCTGAAGTTATCATAAGTAGCGACACCATTAGTTAGTCATAGAATTGATAAACAAACATAGAGGTTATAGTGGTTTCTATGTAGGTACCTACGGTACTTAAATTGCTTAGACTAGTTTCACACGAACATACACGCAATATGATCGTAAACTGTGTACAGCAATTTATTTATAAAATATGCATCGTCGTGACATATTAATTGTTTTTACATATTCACTTCCTCTTTTGTTTCTTTACTCGATCATTTATCAATCAACTACTGTGTTATGCAGGTTAAATTCCTGAAATCGAATGTTCTCGTATAAATTTCCAGTAATGAATTTGAAAAATAAAAGTCATTTCAATATTTTCATATTTTAGAAAAATGGGTAAGTTGTTACAGTAATAGATAAAACATATTTCACGTCAATATTTAAAGCAATGTTATTATACATAAAACACTTTCGACGTGTATTATCGTTTTTATGTAAGGCATGTAATTTAAAAAAATGTTCAAATATAGGGATACTAACTTCGTTAGAAATTCATGTTCATTTAGGTTCATCTTTAGCACAAGCATTTTTCCAAAATTGCCACGGTAATACGAAGAAAGTATTAGATTTAATAGCACCGGAGAAATCACCACCACCCTGCTTTACAATTCAAATTGACGACAAAAAACTAGCGTCACTCATGCACAATGAGATTGTCAAAGCAAATGTGCATGACAGTATACTAGGTAAAAAAAATGTATAAGAAATATTAAATTTACTTATTCCGTTTAGTTGTAACTCCCAAATACTTTATCAGAAATTGGCGAAACCATTCTGGAACGTTTCCGAAAGCAAATTGAAAATGAATTACGAGACAAAATACAAAAACAGTTAGAAGAAAAGTTTCATATCTATCAAGCAAAACAACGATTAGAAGCTGAACAAAAGTCGCAAGAAATACATGAAAAATACAAAAGTTACATGAAAACAGTACAAAAAAAAATTCAGAAACAAATCGAAGTAATACTTTTTATAATTCATGAATTTCATTTATTCGTTCATCGTACATAATCAATCAGAAGACTAATATATGAAAATACTACTTATATAATTGTATTACCAATGTGATTCACAAGTGATTACATAACCCAATTTTACCATAACGCTTTAAAACGCCAAGTCAGTAGTGCTTACTCCCCTCACACTAGTAATTTGAAAACAGTGTTCCCCCCCACTACTTCTACTTTAGTAGCTGCTCGAGACTGCACGTAAGCAATTCTATGTACATACTTAGTGTTCAATACAAACAAGTAAAAGTAGATATAGAAAGGATAATTTATCGTGAGGGGAGTATAGTTAGAATGCCCGCGGATATCAAATTAGACCCTTGCTTTAACTCCCTCAAATAAGGTTTCGTTGAGTTCTATATTCCACAGCATGCTATACGGAAATGATGAAAAAAATTGTTTAAATTTTAATTTTTAAACATTAATTATAAGTAAAAATTTATCAATTTTTAAACTAAAAATTTTTAACATTAATGATAAATTTCCTCTTCTAGACCGAGTGGGCGAACGTTACCGCTCAATGGGTAAAAATTATGCAAAAAGCGATTGTACAAGAACGAATAAAAGTATCTCGTGAAATGATACAAAAAATGCGGATCGAAATTGCTTACGTGGTACAGTCATTGTATGAAGAATTCGAAAAATCGTTTCTGGCCCGAAAAGAAAATATGATCGCTGATTTCAATGAAATTATGAGGTGAATAATATTGCACCTGTAGATGACACGCGAAAATTAATTACCAAAAATTTATATAGAAATCTGTATGTAAAATTGGACGTAGAAAAGAAAGAATTCGAAAAGAAAGTGGGCAAAGAATTATACATTCAAAAACACCAGCTTGAAATGCAAAGCACCGCGGATATAATCAATATTCATTGTTTGGAACAATTGCGTTATTGCAAGGAAAAACATATCTTACATGAATACTTTCAGGTAAACTGGTTCTCTAGTTTCATTTGCAGGCGATTATCTCGGAGACAAATTGTTTAATTTAAAATTGTGCACAAGCAGAAAGAAATTACAGGGCTGCACGCATCAATTGTTCGTCTGAATAATGTTATAAGCGTGATAAGGAATGAAGTTATTAATTGCCACATGAAGAGAACATTATTGGAAGAACAGTTTTGTGAAATTGCTAAACAGTTTCAAAAATTCATTGATTTTGCGTTTCATACCATCCCGGGACAATCGCAATATTTGTTACCGTTGGAGTTACAGCGCTTAATTTTCCCCAAAAAGGATGAAAATGAAGAAAAAGATAAAGAAAGAAATTATAAAAAGAATTGATGAACGCACTTATTCCATTTGTAATATAAAGTGTGTGAGTTACTTTGTTAGTGTTTTATAAACTGTGACATATTTTTAAATAACTGCAGTATTGAGTTTTTCTTCGATGAAAACAAATTAATACTTTTCCAAAAAGTAGAACGGTATTAATTCTTATCCTATTAATTATTTAAATTTAAAAAATGAAAGAGCTTTGGAAACGTTGAATCGTCTGTGCTATATTAAGAGACCTTTAACTATTGACCTACTGATCATATTAACGTGTCACGCAAACATTCATTCAAATTACAAAGTAGTAAAAAAACGCATTGATCTTTTTTTAAAGGGATGTCTATTTATACCAGTCTATTAATATCCTGCCAAAGAAAAGGAAATATTTATGCACTTCCGGAAGAATAAAGTGATTCGAAAATAATGTAAAATTTTTGTTGTTATAAAAAAGTTAATTACATATTGAGCACTATATAAAGAGATTTCTGTAAACCTTAAACTCATTACTATTTCTGTCGTATAAGGATATTAGCCATTTTGGTCACACCTCGATGGCGACCGTAGACAAGGACGGTACCAATCTGGGCATCTCTGAAGGCTCGATATTCTCGGATGGTAAAATTCTCGAATCATGACATTTTTTTTACCAACTTTGCTTTGCGGAATAGGTGGATAATCTGAAAGCCGCCATCCGTATAACCAACTAGTGCAGTCTGGATAAAAGTAACGCTCTTCCGGAATATCCTTTAATCTGTTGCAATCAATGGAAGTATTAGCGTGAAATGGCAAACTATAGCACAGATTTTATGCCTTAAGAGTTGAAACTATATATTAGACACGAAACCTTTCATTGAAATAATTTTCAGCAGTGATAAAGCTAGGCGAGTCTTGGTACAGGATAGTTCTAATTCGCGGGTCAATTGGTTTCATAATATTCATATTAATAGAAGCATCAGGTTCAAAAGGCCTCCAATTTGGTAGAGGTTTTAGATGTATCTATAAAATTGTCAATAAGATTATATCATTTTTCAGTAGATAACAAAGGATTGTCCATTATATCAATAATACAATCCAATTATATATGTATATACAATGCTAGTGCTCGTTTGTTTCTCTATCCCAAACGTAGGTGGTTCAATTTTTCCCACAGGTTCGGTTATTTTCAAGCGGTCCAATAATTTTCGCTGATTATTTAAAAACCATTTTATGCGTCCAGCTTCCTCGCGTTTTACCATTGCAACGTGAAACGCTTGACAACGAGCATCGCAAATGCCTTTGTTCGCCATAATTTAATTCTCAGTCACATTTGGCTTAGATTGAAGATTGGATAGAAAAGATTGTGAGTAGTTGAATATTAATTTAAAAATCTGTGAAAGTTACATTTATAAAATTTGATATGACATTGATCTGAAGTGAAATTACGAAATATTGCAATGTTTTAACGTTTATTTTACCTTAAAAATCGTCCATTAGCGTGTGTATGTTGTGTGTATAGGTATGTGTGTATATATGTATGTATGTATGTATGTATGTATGTATGTATGTATGTATGTATGTATGTATGTATGTATGTATGTATGTATGTATGTATGTATGTATGTATGTATGTATGTATGTATGTATGTATGTATGTATGTATGTATGTATGTATGTATGTATGCATGTATGATGTATGTATGTATGTATATATGTATTGTATGTATGTATATTGTTTTACAGTTTACATACTTTAGCAAATCATTTTATTTACATGTAATATGTTGTATAGTATGCTGATAAATTATTTTTGCGTGTGCTATCATATACTAACTTATACATAATAATTCCAGTGGGAGCATTATTTCACATACAAATCGATTAAAAGGAAATTAAAATAAAATTTTAAATCATAATGACAATAGAAACCGGCGATGGGCATTATTATTATTATTATTATTATTCTTAATATAAAGGAAATGAGTATTTATCTAAATGCTAAAAAAATTATATATATATACAAATTTTGCGCGGCAATCGAATTAAAAAGAAAAAGTAGAATACCGTAAACACAAAATATATGTTCATTGGACACTGGATAGAATCACTTAAATACATTCTGCCATTTATTCGGCACACGCGAGTTTTATACGTATAACGTACATATGTATGTTTGTATACTTTAAGGTAACGATATACACAGTGATTTAATAAACCAAGTAAGTCGGTAGAGATAAGTTTGTGCTTGGTAGTTAATAAAGGTACCTTGACGGTAGGAAAGTGATACTTCCCTTAGTATTGAGCAAAGAAGACCCCTTCTTGTAAATAAATTTTTCTTTTAGGCCAGTTTTGAAAATGTTTAGAAAATGCTAGAGGTATACAATAGATCCGAAAATTTCCGGTAGTCCGTTGGGTTTACTACCTCGCAATATCATTACCTTTAAGTATACAAAGATATACCGTGTTATCTCGATGTCGTCATTTATGATAAAACCTTTACAAGAGACTGAATGTTTGCAGCGTAGAAATAATTTTTATGTTATTTTACAAAATAATATGTATATTATTGTGATGGTTCTATCGAAAAATATATCTAACAAAAGAAGCGCCCTCGTGTACAACGGTTTTCAACATGCATAAGAATCGATTAACTTGTTTTGCTGCATCAAATAATGATTTGTCGATGAAGTAGTATTACGGTGCCGTAATAATAAATAAGTATGGCGTGAAATATGAGTTTTCACATGATATTACTCCCTCTTAAAGTCAACATCAAATAACCCAGTAATCACAGCCATCGGAAGCAATATTGTTTTTACATCTAAATGTTTAGATGCAGTGTTGTTTATATTACAAACTGACTAAGGAGCAATTCTTAATTTGTACTTGGGTAATCAAGGCGAATTGTACTTATCGTACTGTACCATTGCCATTTCCTTTTCTAGTCTGTTCGTTCGTTCTGTACATACGCATGTTACATTAACTTATCTATACTGCTCTACAAAATAATTACATCATCCGCAGTTGATCTAGATAGTTATTATAATAAACAGTTTTTTCCTCATATTAATCTAAACATTCTCTTCCTGTTTCTTCTTTTTGCAAGACTTACCTAGATATTCAATTCAAGGTCAGTGTCATCTCAGTAAACTTGCTTTTTGCCTAAACATAGATCGTGCGTTATACCTCATATAAACATCGAACACTAAAATTTCACATATCTGTAGTATTTGAGATTTTTCATGGTGAAATTTTAAATCAGAACTTATTCGTCAATTATACTGACTTCTTATTATATACAATTCACCTGTAATTTCTTTCATGCATCCCACTGTTTTACTGACAACTTCAGTTTTATGATACAATGTTAAATATACACATTCTTCCAACTCAATTCTGTTCAAGTAGATGTTTTCAGGGCCTCGTTTTTTTCACTTTAAAAAAATGCACGTACTGCATATTCTATTCGTAATTTCTTCAATATAATTTTACTGTAGTGAAGCGAAATATTCTCAATAGTCTTTCGTTTGTACAAACTACGTACATATTTTTTCAATTTCAAATTAATTGTGATCAGTTTATGTATGCTAATAATAAGTTATTTATATAATATATATAATATATAAATTATTTCATAACAAAATGTACACGATCGTTTCATAAATAAATTAAATACAGTTTACATGTAATTTCGTTCAATTTTTAGTTATATACTCACAAAACAATGATTTTCATTTAACTTTCACGACACTTTTTTAAATGTTTTTGCATGCAAATATTACGTTTTCTTTTAGTTATCTTTATACGTTAAATAATAGCTAACAATACTGACAAAAATAAGTGTTTATTTTTCAAAATAATAATAGCAATTGATGATTTTTTTTTTCCTTTTCTTCACAGTGATAAATGTTATATCAATTAATATGTTGATGAATGAAGTAGGATATTTAGTAAAATTTTACAGCATCAAATAGAATACAGTACCGTGTCTATACAATTCTTTGCTTCATATTTTCAAATAACTTATGTTTTGCTGATGTCATTGTTTTCTAAACTACTATATGGTTCTTTTCCTTTAACACATAAAAATACGATTTATATTACGTTGGTACTTCATATATAAGTAGTCATATGCTAAGAAGTAACTTAGACAATTTTCTGATACCTCTTTGACACCGGTGAGCCTGCGTCCTGCACTTGGCTCAGACATGAATTTTCAATTGTGTTGTGAATTATTATACACATGTAATAATACAACAATAACAGATGAATTAACAAGATATCACTTAGCTTCGATAAACTCTCGAAATACGAAAAACGGACGCTTATTTTTCATCCAACAGTGTTTCAGTGTAAAGGTGACATTAAACAATTTAGAAATACCTAACTGGTAGACACATCAAGTAATACAGAGGATGGGGCCGTTTTATTAAGATATACGCTCACATCTTGAAAGCGACTAGACCTAGAAGAACCAGCCTGATTCTGATTTGTACCATTTAAGTCATTCTCAGCTTCTGGTCTACAATGTCCATCATCTTGTTCCTTATGTAAGATATACTTGAAAAATTCGTATCTAAAAAAAATTGTTCAATTATATTACACTTCAATTGTATGTATTACAATTATTACGTTCATATTCATTGTGATATTTTTTGTTACTATATTCTTTCAATGTATATCATGTGTTTCAAAAACACACACAGATATAATTAAAAAATTTATAACACATTTAAAATAGCTCAATTAATAATATTGTGCTGTATAGCATACACTTACGTTGACCAACAAATAGTGGTTGCTGGCATTTGATACAGTACACGAGCACTTAAACCACGAAAGTATCCACTTACACCTCCATAGGCATAAACTTTTTTAAAAGCGTCTATCATACCATAAGCATGCACACCATTTTGTGTATTTAAAAGTGTCTTACAAACATCTAAAGGCGTTGTGAGTGCAGCAGCAAAGGCTCCTGCTAGTGCACCTGCAATTTATATAAGTTTTATATCAATTTTTAATAAATAAATTTTGAATGTCATATGTATCATCATATAAACTAATAATATTCTTAAAGTCAACTGTAACTAAATATATCATTATTTTGAATGAAAATTCAAACGTACCAGATTTCATATGTGCTATGGGATTATATACATGCTCTGGATTTGTAAAGATTTGTGTTACTTCATAGGTCATAAAGTGAATCATTTGAAAAGGTACATTCATGGCCAGTTGAGTTGTGTAACTTCTGTAAAATGCCTTTACACCTTCATTTTCATATACATTCTTTATACATGCCACAACACTTCGATATGGAGAGTTGTACATTTGTAATCGTTGTTTAACCACTGGAATAAGATAATTTTATTCGTTATTAAAGAAAATTCCAAAAATTTAAATTGCTTATTGAATTTTCAAAAAACAAAAGTAACTATTTTGTACTACATTTGACCCTCAATTTATGCAGACTTTTTTTATGTAAATCTCAGAGTCGGGCATACTTACGTACTGTACATCAATATAATTGGTAAATATATGAAAGAAGCATTATAAAGATCAAGCAAGGGATATTTTACCTTCTGCTGGGTTCATTACTCCATCATGAAGAAGTGTTGCCACACAACCAGCAGTTCCGTACGCAGCCAAATTAAGTTCAGAGTGTGATCTTGAACTTAATATCTTATTTCTTATGAATTCGTAACATGAAAAATATAAAGCGTGCGCAGGACCAGCCCCTACAACCATTGCACTCATACCACGAATAGGTCTCAAAGCACCTTCTTGTCGTACCATTCTAGTCAAGATTTCTCTTATTCCTCCTCCTCCTCCTGGACCTGGAGTCAATATCTGCATTCTTGTCTATATGTAAACAATTTTAACACAAATAAATTATGTAAATGAGTTTACCATTCAATAAAAGTATTTGTTTATTTAGTTTACAGATACATATATTTTATTTGTATTATAAATTCATTGAAATTTTTCGCGCATAACATTAAGGAATACAATTCATAAAGGGGCAAGACAAAATATTATTCTCAGTTACTTTCTTGCATTGTGTATCCTCTTCAACTATGTGATTATTAAAGAAGGATATCAAAATACTGACACAGTCTTAAATATGACTTGCACATATCTAAAGATATAGTACTTATCAACTAAGATTATTTTACAACTGTTTAAATAAATCTTAGTTACTTTGAAATGGGATCAGTGATATAAATGACAATGCATTAAAAGTTTGTATAAAACAAACTATTAAACTTAACAATTTTTATTTTGCATGTTGTAACTTATTAAATATACATTTTTCCATTCTTAAATATAAGAGAAAATAATAATAGGGATTGTGGGTTGAAAGAAAATCAAAAATAGCACCTACTACATCAGACCCCAAGTGACATGTTACATAATGAATACTTGAAGCTCATGTTCTGCTTAAGAAATGTTACATTAAAGTTGTTGTCAAAGTTAAATGTTACATTAAACTTGTTGCAAGTATAGTTGAAACTGTATAAACAGTGTACAAGGGAAAACACAATTTTCCATATTATTTTATTTATATTTAGCATTCATTCATCAATGACTGTGCATTGCAACATGACATACTTAATATGCAAATTGCATACCTCATTTCCAAATTAGTAAAGATAACATTATAGAAGCTAAATACATAAATAAATTTCATTTAAAAAATTAAGTAAAAGAAGAATCATGTCGAGTAATATTATTTTCGTTTTGTCAGCTAATATAATTCGTATGTACTGCAAAAATAATATTTCGTCCGTCAGTTTATAATATGTAACTAACGAAACTATCGTAATCGTTCTTACAACGAAATGAAATAGCTAAATTTCCCGATGACTAAGTTCATTCTTCGTTAACAACCTAACCATCCACTCAGAAACAATTCTGAAATAATATTGCCCGAATTGGTTACACAATGAGCTTTCCAACCGTGACATAAAACGCAAAATAACCGTACAACGGTGATGCTACAGTAACTTCACCGTCTGACAATGATTAATAGCAGTTATTTTGAAATTTTCAACACATCTCACTATTTACTTAAGATTACGATCACGATTGTGCTCGTCGGCACATGATTTCTTGGAACTCTAACGAGAAAGGTTGAGAAAATCTCAAGTTGTCCGGCACCGAAACCGTATATTTATCGGCATTAAAAGAATCACACGTCTTGTAATGTCAGGGCACTGAGTGTCATCGAATTTTATGAAAATTTAACGGAGATCGAATAACATGTCGACAGCGATTGAGGTTATGTAAAATATCGTCTTAAAAAATCCGCAAGAAATAGATATATTACCTTGACACTATCAAGCGGGTACATCACGCAATGTTCCATTATTCCAGCGAACGCACCTGCTGTCATGTGCACAGACATGGAAGTTGTAGGTAGGCTCTCGTATATTTCCGCATTCATATTTTTGGAGAGGCGTCAGCGGGAATTCCAGTTTACGGCTTTAAAGTGCCGTAATCGGTTGTGCACTCTGTCGAGGCGGATAACACGCACGCTTTCGGCAGCAACCGATGCCGAGCTACTTTTGAACGATATTTACTTTGTAACAATCGAATCGTTGCCGATTCGTATGGAATCGAGAGAAAAGTTCGTTCGTTCGTTCGTTCGGAATGAACGAGACGTAATCGTACACGTTGATTGTCTTAATGGAACCTTATTGGAATTGAAAAAGCTGCTACCCCCGATAGACAAATTTACAATATACAATCCCCTCCACGTACTCTCGGCGCAATGAGATTCCTGTTGTACCTGACTAATCGGCTGGTACGCTTGGAAGTGTACAAATACCTGTCAGATCGTTTGCTCGAGTAATCACAGAACATAATGCACATCGACATTCTTCGCGATACAACTATGAATCGTCACAAGTTGGTTCGGTGAGGTTAGCCGTATGTGCACGTGCCGCGCATGCGTTGTACTCAACCACGTGGTTCGTGCGTGTAGTATATTACGTAGTAGTGAACTTTTAATAAATAGTCTGATTGCTGTAGGTTGTACTAAGTACCTACAAGTCATATAATATGCGTTTATCAGTTGCATAGTGATAGATTTTGTACACTTTTGAAGGTGAAGCGATTGTTTCGTCGAATTTATATGATTAAAATTTCATGATGGATTCGAGGCTTTATTTTTGTTCTAGAACTGCAGACTGCAACGTTGCTACCATGATTATCCGTTGTTGTCGAATAAATGCATCGCGTTTAGTTTTCAATTTTAGGGTTCGTTAATACTTGTGAAATATTATTGAAAATGTAAAGAAATTGGTTTCTTAATCGTTTAAGCGGGAAACGATTTTTATAATAATTGTAATTACTTGTTATCTGAGATGAATAATAATAAATTGTACAATGATTAATATATAAAGATATTAGACGAAAAATGTTTTCTTTTCTGAAAAGAAATAACGTTTTGTACCCTCTAAATTACATATTTTTTAGTTTGTTCATTTGTACTACTGGTTTTGAACAAATTTATTCAAATTTATGCACCACTTTAAACTTATTCTAAGAAGTGATCATAAAAAATATTTAAATGCATTGAGATAGTAAAAATTAGGGTAAAATAAATTAATTCTAAGAGAGGAACATTGAAAGGTCAGAAAGTTGCACCTTTTTTACAAAATGCACTCCATCAAATGTAATGCAACTCTGTAAAAAATTATTCAAATATAAATGCAATATTTTGCGCTTCTTATTCTTATCGCAATTGCTCCTTTATATATACATATTTTTAATTGTTTCATAATTTTTATTTTGTTATTTAAAATATTTCGAACTTAACTTTTGCACTGTTTATTATATTAAAATGCATTTTGTAACTGTTTCTAATAGAAATAATAGAACAAAAAGAATAACATTTTTATTCGACGTGATAAATATTTAATATTTCGCGTCTTTTAATACCGAGGAGCTCAAATCCTATAAGAAGGTTGCAATGATACACGTTGAATAATGAATATGAATCAAACAATGAAACCGAAAGGTTTTATTCAATATTTACACACGGTGAACGAGACTCATTATTTTATACCATTCATTAGACAATTCAACATTACAGATAATGAACTGGCTTTATAAACATATAAGAGGTAGATAACATACGATAATTGTTCACAAATTGTGGTTTTTATTCATAAAACAAAAGGATCGTTATTATCACGCATCTACGCGTACAGGTGTCGTAATTCTTTTATTAACAAATTGAACTAAAAATAACGATGTTCGTTTATATATTTACGTAAAAAATGAATATGTAATATTTTGAATAATACGGGAGGGTCTTTGATCGCGTTGTATATGGATTTATGACGTTCGGTTAAATGGCAAGGTCGACTAACATAATTCTATATAAGTTATTTTTGTGGAACTGAATGAATTGACAAATAACAGAAATATCAAACATAAAACTCAATTAATTATCTAATAAACCAACTTCATATCTTTTATAATACACTCGGTTTGTAATTCTTTTTCTTCTGTGGTCACGTATCGTATTATCGTTCCACGTACACGATTATATACAATTCTATTTCGCTTTTATCATTTGCAACGTTCACCAGATAAAACAAATATTTTTTTTCATATTTCTAAAACCTCATCGAAAAGATTCTTAAACGGTACTTGTTGCGATATACAATATAGTGTATCCGGTTCGAGAGTTACAAATAGAGAGGAAGGTCTTAATACTTACGAACTGTTTAACATGTATACAAAAAATCGCTTTATTTAAAAGCAATCATAGTAGTAATGGGTTTTATAAATTTTTTTAGCTTTATATTACATATGGCAATAAATAGTTTAAAAAGTTGGAAAAAATATTCTACAATATCTTCACACTATACGAAGTAACGTATTTCTAGTTTATATATATATATGTATATATATATAACATTACATTTATACAAACTTACTCATTTACAGAATTAAAAACACGCTTATTAATTAATTAATATAACGTTTTCGTAAAAAATTAATGGTACAATTTTAGATAGTTAGTGAAAATGTGATACCGTTTACAATTAATATGGCGGAAATGAATGGTTTTCTTGCATTGCAATTTACTCGTTGCTATTTCATTATTTTAAAAAGAATTATGGAAGCTATTGCTTTTTTTATTTTAACATCACAGAATAACTAGTTTTTATTTCTTCCTCCTTGCTAAATTGAATCGTAAAAAAATTTCTCAAGGAGTTTAAACAAGATTGATCTTAATTTTACTAACGATTCTTTATACTTTTAGCTTATCAAGTCTGTATCCTCAGACATTTTCAATCAACTTATAAACATTAAGAAATAACAGTTTGAAAAGAAAATTGGTATTAGAGATATAAAATTCTTTGCAATCTCATATAAAACCCTTACTTTAAAGTATAATTATTGTGTTTGAGTTAAATAATGCATATATTAATAATTTTATGTATAATTCTATAAATACATTCTGCACTCATTTTATATATTGTGTACATAATAAGTTAATGAAAATTGCACAGTATTAATTGCAAATCTGTGTGTTATTTATAATAAATCGAACTTTGTACAAAAAGTTTACTGTATGTAGTATGAAAAAATATTAATGTCTTCAACTTTGTTTTTATGAATAACAGCTACATAAACATATGGTATTCAATACAGGTATGTAAATTAAATATACATTATCCACAATAATTTATACATTTGAAATGATAAAATTTTACAATGAATTTTAATCAAATTGAATAATATGTTACAATCTAATATATGTACATACCTCATAATTCACATTTTCATGAATTTCCATAATATGGTACTATATTGTCTCTAAAGAAATTGTCTTAAAAAAATGTCTAATTCAAAATATATATTAAGTGCATGTTCTATTTAGAAAGGTATATCAAGATGTATTGTGCATGTTCACTGACTTGTTATAAGTATCAATGAATCAACACTGACGGGTATACCAATTTTTAAATTATAACAAAGAAGTGGTGCACATCATTATAAATCTAATCATAAGTCATTCACAAGAAACAGCGAAGTCCTCAGAAAGGAAAGAAAAAAATAACGCATTTTTCATGATACAATTGATAAACTCACTATCAGTATAGAGAAGAAACATTAGTTGAGGATCTTAGTTAAGTATTAGCTAGTAAAAGATTAGTTAAGTATTCCAGTAAATCAAGTAACATGTTGACAGGAAACATGTAATATTCCTAATATTAGTAATTATTTATATACTATGATCAACTAAAATATGATTTCACATAAAATATATCCACAAATTAAAATTAGTTACATTCATAAGCTTAAGATCGATCTGCACTGGATACCGTATTTTAAACAGTCGAAATATAGATTGGAATAGATATAGATGTGGTTAATTTTTAGTAATAACGAAACCAACGCATTATATGTAGAATTAAAACTATTAAGATTCTTGAGATGCGTTAGAAAACTATAAAAGTCAGAATAACAGGATCCTATATACAAAACATGATAGACGGACCAAAATGCCATTTAAAGTATGGTGTACTTACACACATAGGTATGTATGTATACATAGTTTGAGCTACCATACTTGTGAAGAATCATAAATATGACTATAAAATATAACTATAAAAGTACAAAAAATTATGTGATCATAAAAGATTAAAAATTAAAACAAAAACACTATTATTAATAAATAAAACTAAAGAATTAATAAGCAGATGTTATAATGTTATATCACATTACAAGTGCAACATCTGAAATGGAGTAGCATGTGAAAAACCTGTTCTATTATACTACTAAGTTAAGAAAAATCATTATACAAGTAAAACATTTTTTTACCGATATGCACCACTTTTAAGTATTAGGCTGAGCATATTTTACACAACACCGACATAGAAGAATACACGGAAGTACCTATTTCTTTAATACTGAATTGGAGTGAATATGCCTACATAAGTAGTCGTTACTATTATAGTTAAACAAATGGTTTTTCCAAATATTTTACATTTTTTCTAATTAAGTGTGATGGCAATTTTCTTTTAGAGAAAGAAAAGACACTTAAAGGGTATTAATCCATAAGAATTTCTGAATATTTTAAAATGTAAAATACATTTAAAATATCATTGAAGATATTAATTTCAATTTCTTGCATAGAAAATAAAATTTCATGACACTATAGTGTAAATAGTAATCTATACACTTCATTTGGTCACTTCAGAATTACATGTACTAATGAGTTTAAAAATATTTGATTCAAATATAGCATGTAATATATTATTAGAATCAACAACTAGAACTCCTTTTTATGATACATAAAGTAAAAGATAATTTACCACCTGAAACTACGTACTAATAGCTATGCCTGGTTAGATCTCCTACTTCTGCGAGAAGAACTTGCAAATAATGGACGTGGTTTGTATAAGTCATCGCTTGAATAACGCTGACTGCTTCTATGCCGGCTGTAATTACATAATAGACTAGTTACATCATGTATAATGAACCAAGATTCGTATTTCAATGAAAGCTATATTTCTATTATGAAAAAGAAGTATGTACAACTCTTTACATTGTATACTGTACATACTTCAATATTTTTTATGTAGGTTTTTCATTCAACAGTCGTTTATTAATAAAAAAAGCTTTAAGATATAGAACAGTTTTAATTCGTTATATATACAAGAAAAATAAACACTTTTTTTATTCTGTACAAAGAACGTAAAATTTTTTAAAGATACAAGATTTTAAAAACAAACAAAACCATTGATGGCAAATATAATTATGTTACATACCCTTTGTCTTCCTTAATTAAATTTGATGATGGTATTTTTTCACTGGTCGCGGATACATCACTTTCCGGGCTCAGAGGCATAACAAAATTTTCCCCATTTAACAATCCTTGTGGAGTACATATATTTGGTTGTAACCTTTGCTTCTTGGGTCCGATAAGTTTTCTTTTCTTTATATTGTTTAAAACATCTTCGTTTGGTATGTTCAACGCTTTCTTATGGCCATCATTGTTATTGTTTGAATTATTTAACAATATATCTGACAAAGGGCTGGTTGAATGTTTACGTTTTGGTAAAGGAGGTGCCATAGCTTTTGGCATCGAAGATACAACTTGACCTCCTAAACTCTCTATTATTTCTTCTAACGAACTATTTTCTACTAATTCCAATGATTCTAAGAAATTAGAGAATTTTTCTGACTTCTCGTTATCTGCTTTGAAATAACGACAATCTTCATTGTCTTCGATTGCCACTGAGGTAGATTCTATAGCCTGAGATTCATTGTTAACATGTACCAGATGATATTCTTCAGGTATATCTCTACATAACTTGGAGCAGCTATTGTTTTGAGTATCTTGGAAAATGTTTTTGTCTTTAGATGTCGATGTAACAGGTATTTCAACATTCTTCTTGTGTTTTGAATGACCTGTATGATCTATAATAGGTCTTAATACGTTTGCCTGGTCTTTTGTTTTGTTTTCACTAGTCTCTTTAGTACTACTGTCAGAAGAATTTATTTCTTGACACGTTATACTTTTTTCTAGTTTAGATGTACTAGCTTCTTGTGACACTTCCTTCTTTTCAGAAGCATCATTAGTTTTTATAGTTTTTCCTGTTGTAGATATTGGAAATTCTTTATTTTGTAAGTTGTCATTTTTTTCATTGCTGGTATGCGTTGTCTGCATAACAGTACTTGCTTGCTGTGGAGATCCCTTTTCTAGTTTTTTATTGGGAAGAGTTTCGCATAATGATTTCTGTATGCACAGCTCCATGTCCGATAATTTTAATTTTAAATCAGAGTGCACTTCTAACAAATCCTTTGCACCTGCTTCGCTTTGCAACATCATTATTGATCTTTCTTCTAATGTTAAATTAGTATGATTTTCAGGATATGGTTCTTCGTATTCTTCATCTGGTATCTCTATTATTTGAACGCGTTCTTCATCTGGTACGCTTTCAAAGTTATCACTATTTGTAGAATTGGATTGTATTAAAGGTTCTACTTTTGGTTGAAATTTTTTCTCTACCTTTTTATTTTCTTTGAGCTTTTGCTTCTCTATTTGTTTTCTAATTTTCATTAATTTCTTAGCTTCATGTATATTCTTTGCAAATTTTGGTTTTTTTAGCTTCATCTCTCCCGAAACACTATTATCTTCACCAAGTAATGGTCGTTTCTTCAAGGGTAAATTAACATCATTCAATTCTGGTTGTTCCTGCTTACCGTGCATTTCAAAATTACTGCTATCATTTGTTTTGTACTCTACATTATCAAATTTATAATCCAGTTGATCTGATGATAACCTTAAATCATTTGTATGCGTTTCTTCTGTATTGTCTGATGTTTCGCTACCAGAATTGCTCATATGATTTGTTTCTTTAGACAAAGTTGATGAACTTGATTTATTACTTCCAATATTGGAATTAGAATTACTAGACTGTGAGCTTTTACTACTAGATCCATTTGAACCATCTCTATCTGTTGAACGCCGATCACTAGAATTTTTTCTTAAACTAGAGTGATCATCTTTTGACTTGGATTTTTTCTCTTCCTTCCGCTTCTTATCTTTATTTTGTGAATCAGTCTTGCTATCTTTTTTGTTATCTAATTTTTCGTTTCTAATGGGGTTTTTATTTTGTATCTGATTTTTTGTATCCTTTTTGCCATTTATTTTTTCACTACCCGACTTAGCATCTTTTTTAATTTCAGATTTCTCAATTTTCTCATCTTTCTCATTTTTAATCATTTTCTTTATATCTTGTTTCTCAGATTTTTCAGTTGAATCCGATTTAGTACTTACATGATTTTTTGACTTTACATCTTTTGAACTACGTTTTTCATCTCGTTTACCTTTATCTTTTGATTCACTTCTCTTTTCTTTTCCATCAAGTTTCTCTGATGGTTTAACAATTTTAATTTCATTAGAACCCAATGTGGAACTTTTAGAAAAAGAACTTTTATGATCTTTCTTGTAAGATTTTTTATCTTTCGGTGAATCTTTCTTATCTTTATTTTCCTTATTTGGTTTTGCTTCTCTGTTATCTTTATTTAATTTTTCCTTTTCTGTTAATTCTTTCTTCTCTCTAAGTTCTCTAATTTTTTCTTTGTAGAGATCCTTCAAATCCTTTCCTTCTTTACTAATGCTATCTTTTTTATCTGATTCTTTTATTTTGTCTTCTTTCATTTTTGTATAATTATCTTTTTCCGTGTCTTTACTTTTATCTATGTTATCTTTTGGCTGATCACCTTTCTCTTTAGACTTACTTTTGTCATACTTATCATATTTTGTACTGCTATGACTTCTTTGCTTCTTTTTGTCGCTACTTCTGTCTCTATGATGTTTTCCATCTTTCACATGATTCCTGTCTCTTGACTTTGATTTAGACTCACTGTCTCTACTTCTGTCTCTATGTTTATGTTCATATTTATCTTTCGTACTACTATCCGTAGCATCGCGAGAATTTTCTTTAGGCGGTAAATTGTATTTATTAGTTTTAGAATCTTTAACATCTTGTACATCTTTACCTTTATTTAATTCAAAAATACTTCTATTTTTATTTTTATTAGATTCATATTCTCTGACAGCTTTAAAATTGTCTTTAATATTTTTAACATCACATTTGTCTTTATTGACTTCGTCTTTCAATGCATCGTGTATAGGTGTTGATGCATGATTCGAAGATCCAAAGTCTGTTACAATTGATAATCGAGAATCAGAAGAAACTTTACTTAACTGTGAGTCTTGATTACTATAATCAAAATTATCTCTTGACAGTTCATTACAAAAATCAGGGCTTCTAGATCTATGGCTAGTTAATTCTGATATTCCTGATAAATGTGAATCATTAGAAATATTAGATTCATTTAAATTCATAATATCTATTGGTTCAAAGGTAGGACTATCTTCTTCTTCCTCTTCTGTCTTATCATCTGACTTTCCAGATGTATTTAAATTTAAATTGCTATCAGTCTTATGAAGATTTTTACCACTTTCATATAATAATTTTTCCTCGGATGAAATTTGCCCGTTCTCAGAAACATTATCTTTATCATTCTCATTAGAAATTTCTTCTTCCTGCAATTTTACTTCATGAAATAATTTCTCTTCTTTCGTTATTTCTAAATCTTCCATTGCATCTATTGATTCCAAAGACACATCTTTCAAACTATTTTTGTCAGACTCTGGTGAAACAGGATCTAGATCTTTAGGTAGTAAGTCTTTAAGGCCACAAGCACCATTTTTTTCTTTTGCTTTAGGTCTTTCTAAGCCAAGAAACTTATATACTACATCTTCAATGTGAGGCATGAAAACAGAATACACTTTTGGGTTTACAACTTGATCTACTATACGCTCTACACCAGCATCCAAATAAGGAGCCTCATGAATGTGTTTGCGCAAAGTTTCTCGTACTTGATTTTTGTTTAAATCTGGTTTCCATGATTGTTTACTAAGGAAGGAATTTACAGATCCTTCCACTCTTGTACGTAAATTCTGATATGCTGGCTGTAATAAAAACAACATACATTATGATTACAAGCAGGTTTATAAAATAAATTTAATTTCCCTTAAAGACATTAGACGTTAAGTACAATAGGAAAAAATAAAGGTACAGAAACCTATTTTATACAACATACACAATACTCATGATTTTTTACTGCATACATAATATTGAAGTATTATTTTATGCAAAATATGAAAATATCTTTTCAGTAATTTCAAAGCTATAAAGAATGAATATTAAAATTGTATTGTATACCTTTGTATCAACATCAGCGATACATTCTTTACGAAACTGATCGAAAATCCCTTGAGATTTAACTTCTCCAACGATATGATCAACTAATCGTGGATCACCCGCTAACAATGTGTTGGATAATCCTAACTCCATGCTAAAAAAGCTATGTAAAACAACAATAATTCACTTGAGTACTAAACGATTATTCATTTTCATTGCTGAAGACACTCTCTCAAATAGTATACAGCCATACTCCTCTGACTTTACGTTTAGGTTAAACACTCTATGTATCTGTGTAAGTAAGTGAATAATACTCAGTGATACCAATCCTTCTGCTTTTTTTATTTACAATATCACGATTCTGTGACAACACCACAAGTATCAAACATACAACAGATATCCGGATCAGTTTATTATCAGATTACTATTATATAAAATAAAAAAGAATCAAAGTCACTAGGAAAAAAACTAGTATTTGAATTTTGTTTACTATTAATCATTCTAAGTATCACATTTTTTCGCCACTTAAAAGAAGTGATAATATGTAATATGAATTTATAAAAGTGCGTCATCAACTTTTTAATTTGCCATTTCTTTAAAGCTAATCACTTCTTTTTAATTTGATTTTTGTTATAATATATACATATATATATATTTATATATATACACATATGAATATACGAAGTGCGCACGAAATGCGCAAGCAATGTGCGTCACACAAAAAGTTTCATATGTAGCTTGATTATACGCAGGAATATGTTAGATAATTAATTTACGACTGAACCTCATATTTATTTTTATTTTGAAATAATATATTGTAGAATCTTAGATATGATACTGTTAACTACAATTCAATAAACGAAAAAAAATTGGTTTATCCTATATTAAAACATAATTTATAGTATTTTATTGTTCTTTATTAAAATTCATAAATTGTAATTAATTATTATTAAAAGTGTAACGCTGTTGTATTTTCAAGCTTATATTTTAATGGAAAAAGGTAACATAATATTAATTTTCAACAAATTCTATTAACATTTCATAGAACAGTAAAAGCGTTACTATTGCCTTAATGTTGAAAATTCAGTAGGGTTATTTAAAGGTAATCATCTACATTTCTTCTTTTTCAGTTTAAGTGATGTGAACAAAAAGAAAGGAATACAATGACAAAAATTATTGAATTACGTCCTGATAAAAATCTAATAAACCCAAAATTTGAAAAATATCAATTTTCGACCGATGAAATTCCAATTGCTTCTGAAATAAACTTAAATGCAAGTAAGTGCACTGCAGTAATGTAACATGTTACTATTAGAGAAATTAATGTTATTATAAATATTTTTATAAACTTTACAGATGTTCAGAGGTTAGAATTGACCTCAAATCGAGATTCTCTGTTGGAAACTCATTTATTTGCATTTCACAATCATTTATTTAAAAATCCATATGATACGTCTTATTGGTTCATAGATGACAATTGGTCAGTTTGGAGATATAGCAAAGATGGTATTTTAAAACAGTTATATCAAATACACAATACTAATGCAAGTGTAGAGAATGTGTTGTATAATCCATCAATTGGTTTCACTACTAATAATATTATGATAATTTCTGATGGTGGAAATTATTTAAATATATTATTAGTAAAGGATGAAGAACATATTAAAGCCTTTTCATTAAGCGATACAGAACCTGGAGTTATCTTAGATGTGAGGTATCTGAGTGCAACATCTACTGTCGTAGTTGCTTTGCGTAATATTAAGAATACTGGTGAAAAAAAATTTACAAGTCTCCTGTTATTAACATACGCATGGAAAGATGCAGGAGAACCGCACCAGTCTTTCAAATTTATTTCTAAAGAAGTTTTAACAGTTAATGGTGCTATTGAATATGTATATATAGAAGATAATGGCAGATATTTCCATTCAATTTGTCAAGATTATGTTACATTCAAGCATTCAAGACTCCAAGAATCTGCTGATAGTAAAAATGGTTTAGAAAAATCATCCAAAATAAAAATACCAAGGTATTGTTGGTCACAAGATGAAGATTCATTGACAATTTGGATAAAAGTGGATAGAGAGCAACAAAAAGATGTCAAAGTGCAAGTGACGTCGTTAGAGCTATCAGTAACATTGAATGGTATTGTGTTAATACAAGGTCAAAGTCAACATAGATTAGACGAAGATTTAACAACATGGAAATATGAAGACGATACATTTAAGCTTGAATTATTTAAGCATGAAAGTGGTTTGATGTGGAGTGAGCTAATTAAAGGTGACACTGGTGGTGAACATTTACCAAATGAAACATTAGCTGCCGAAATTCATTCCAGGTACAAGGATTGAAAATTAATTACAAACATAATAATTTACATTGTCCAAAGAATACCTATTAGTTAAGGGATTCAAAGAAATATTTTATTTGATTTAATTTTATATTTTCTTAATTCCTTTCTTCTTATGATTAGGTTAGCACATTTGTGTACCGATCAAACAGATGGTAAACTAGAAGGTCAACCCTGTATAGGGTTCAATTCTGAACAACTCGAAGAGTGTGATCTTGAAGGAAAAGATAATCTGTTGCAAAGAATTGATCTTGTCGCACAAAAGAATACACATTTAGCTATGCTAGGAACAAGTAATCATGTGTTATTTACATACAAAACAAAGATTGGCCAAGCAATATGTTTAAGACATGATAATGACGGATGTTTGTGGGTTACTGGTAAAGTTGATGATATTAAATGGGACATAAAACATTATTATACCTTTCCTGGCTTTGGTTACGTTGAAGCTAGCAAAAGTAACAAAAAATTTTGTGTTTCCCCAGGTGGTAAGTACTTAATTAATACATAAGCAGACTTCACTTTAATTAAAGCATTTCAATCAATTATATTTTTAGATGGTTCATATGTGGCTATACTGGAACATACAAGATACATTTTTTTATACAAAAGACCTGAATTAAATACTCAAGTTGAGAAACAGTGGATTGTGGATTTGGGAACTGAAGCACTTCCTATTATGGGAGCCACAGCTACAAGCAAATATTTAATTGTACTTACTAAAAATAAATTATACCGCTTGCATATCTGTTTCTAAAAATAGATGCATTGATTGCTCTGATGAAACTTAATATAACATAATCAATGCTTTTATTAAGACTATCATTGATTACAAACAACATTATATGTAATTACTTCCTTCATCTACTTTTAAAGTTGCAATTTTGGAAAAAAAAAGATAATTCGAAATTCGGTCATGATTACAAAATAATAAACAATCCTCGCACTGAAAGAAAATAATTTTCAAAGGACATGGGCCAAAGTTGAATCTTGCAATAAACTATTCTAAGTGGCAGTTCACTGTAGTTATATATTGCAGTGTAAAGGTTGATCATTTTGTAAATCTTATTTGTGGAACTTGGAACTGACATGGTCTACAAGATCCTTCATAGTCATATTTTTATCTTTATGCCAATACCAAATAATACGATTGCTATATGTTTCACTGAAGTACGCATGAGGTACATCAGGCTTCTCTGATAAATATTTACTTTCCTTGGTTTTAATATTATAAACATATTTTTGAGAACATGTTTTGCTAACATTTAGGCACCATGGATATGCAGTACTTTTCAAGAAAAGTACGCTGTTTGGTATAAAAAATGGCTTGTCAAGAGAGTTATCGCAGTCTAAGTGTGTTGTCGAAAATTCATATGCTAAAGCTTGCCGACTGTTTTTCATTATACGCTGCTTTAGACATAATTTTTCACCGATGTCTGGGCATAACGGAAACAAATCTTTGGTACGTATCCGATCGTAATTGCTTCCGTTTGGTTTCCACAAAGCTTCACAAAATTTCTTTGCAAGTTTATGTCTATAAAAAAGTTTTTAGATCAGTGTTATAATTCACAAAAAAAAATATTTACTACAGATAATTCATACCTCTCTAATAAATGTTTTTTACTAACATCTTCACCACCCAAAAAATAAACATCTATAATATGTAATGCCAATATTTTACGCTGATTTTTAGATTCCTTTATCATTTCAAAAACTACTTCACCATATAATAATGTATCAGGAGGCAATTCTATTTTAATATCATCAACCTCTACCCAGCTACTTCTTATATAACGATACACATTACTTCTTCCAAAACTCCTGTAAAGTGTGGCATTTCTTTTTTCATCCTCGCCAGAGTTCTCCCATGTAGTGCCACAAGGTACACAATAGTAATCGAGTGGTTGTTCCAATACTGATTTTCGTAAATTCTCTTTTGTCAATATTATTGCATTTTTAGAGAGAAATTTGCTACAGTCCCCAAGAAGATTATTCAGTTTATGAGGTTGCGCGTGCTTTGGTACTTTTCTACTCAAGTCAGGAATGTTCCAATATTTAAGACATTCTTTACGCATATCAGTTTGCCTCGATTCAACAAGGCTACTGTTATTGCAAAATGCAGCAATCTTTTGAAGACTGATTATTTGCTTGTTCCCTAAATAGTTATTAGATTCTCGTAAATACTCTACGAAACGCTTTTCTTCTTCTAATTCTTCTAAAGATACTAATTCTAGAACATCATTATTGTCATCATTCTCCAAGAGTATTCGATTAATATCTTTGAAATACTGCACAATAGGTTCTGTGTTTGGTCTTTTCCTCTTACATATTAAATATCGTTCGGAATTCGCTGGTCTAGAAGAGTTTGGCTTAAAAAGGCAAACTTCGTCGAAACAGCGGTACATTATATAAACTAATCCCGCGCTGAAGGTAGTAAAGATGTCGAACAATTTTGTAACAAAATGGCCCCCCACTCTCACAATCATTAGTGCTACCAAACACTGACAGAGATATAACTGTTTTGACAAAATTTCTTGCAAATTTTCTTGTCCTTTTACCGAAAAAGCTCCATCAGACATCATAAAATGTACACCTTTATTGTTCGTATGTGTCATTATAAGCTTTCTCAAAGCTTCTTGGTTGTCAGGATCAAAAACATCACCATTTTCTTTAGGTCCATAATACGGATGAAAAGTTTCACAAGAACCTGCATAGAAATCAGCTAATTTAAAGTCATTTTCATTTTTTAAAGTGAAACCAAATCCTTTGGCACGCCACCGTTTTCTCCATAGAACATATTCGCTAAAACCACCTGGTCCAGCGCATACATCTGCAAAATAAAGTAACTCGTCATCCTGTAAATCACTTGGTGTGGTAAACATAAAGTCGCACGCTCTATCCATATTTGCCATTTTAACAGCAGCTCGATTTAAGAAGAATGCACCACGAATGGTTTCATAAGGATTACAACGTGTTCTGGCATGACGCATTTCAACGTTATCTAATTTATCAAATACTGCTTTTGAATTAATAATATTTGTAACTATATCTTCATTACAGAAATTAGTTTCATCATCTATAACAAGCTTTTTAGGCCCCTTTTTTAACCATGATTTTAATTCACTAGAAGTTGGTAAATCATTATGGTGATTTTTTATCCATTCTATAGTCTCTATAGCTTTGACTTCTTCTTCTCCAGAATCCCATTTGTGACCAGAGGCTTCAAGACCAGGTACGTGGTGTCCAAAACCTCTACGACCGTGTTGTTTAGCTGCTTCTACAGGCTTTAAGCGACCTTGTCTATGTTTACCCAGACCATCGCCATGTTTATATCCCATTATTTGCATTATTCGTTCAGCTATTCCTTTTCCATGCCAGCTCTTCTGTTCTTCTGTATTATAAATTTTAACTTCAGTAGTGGAATTATCATTGTTTTTATTTGTTTCAGATATTTTCCTTCGTTTATTGCATTGGTAAGAATCATCATACCCTACTCCATTCATCTCTGATTCTTCTTGTTCATCGTTAGAGTTAGATGTCATATCATTTATGTGTCTACTTTGTATGTTTCGACTGTTAGATTTGTCACTTGAGTCTTGTTCGCAAGATAAATCTTGATACATGTTATGTGAATTTGATTGAGGATCATCTTTCTCATCCAAGTTTTCATAGTAATTCTCATTACAATCACTGTCATTTAGATCCGAACTTTCATCCACAGAAGTATCGTAATTACGTCTTTTAACTCCTTCACCGGAATAACTTTGATAAGTTTCTTTGTTTTCCATAACTTCTTTATCGCAAACTTCAGAATCATCATCTTCATTATCCACAACTTCAAATTCACTTTCATCTGAATCTGAAAAATTACATTATTGTATGGTATTGTTATGACTAAGTGTAATTTACTATGATATATATGATACATTTCACAACTATCATAATATTGTGATTGATAATATTCTAAATGAATTTGTTGTAAAAATAAATTGAAAAATAATAATGAGTTGTAATAGAAATATGTTCAGATATACATATTTAAAATTGTTTATATTATTAGTTTTATGAAGCAGTGAAATAATAAAAGTTGAATTTGAATTGGCCAAAAATTGCTTTTGGTTCATCACAATTATGCTCACTTGCAATAATTTATGATCAAATTCTTTAGAATCAAAATATGTTCATAGTTGCACCTGAACATATTTATGTTACTAACTAATAAAAGACAGGAAACTTACAGCTTTTCATGTCTGCAGAAATTATATATAACTTTTTATTAACAGTTATAAACAAGTTATAAACAAGTAGATATTTGTTCAATCTTGCACTTTAACTGTTACTCATACGCCAAACGTTTAAATTACATTATTATTACAGGTTATGTTTACGTTTGCACAATAGAAATGATGTGTAATAACAGTAATCACTGGAACGTTGTTTAATTAATGAGAAATTAGTAACTTCATATTTAACGTCATAATTTATAATAAAACAGTTTATTTGAATTTCCATTCATGTATATAAGTTGATAAGAATACACACAATGAATTTTAGGAAGATTACTTGATGTCTAACGAGACGTCACGGGGGTAAGACGGGTATTTCCCTGTGTGTTTTGTTTGTAGTTTTGATTGGTTATGTGTAATCGTATTGACGAATAGTAAATTAGCACCACAAGAAGGATGAGAACTGACCAATCAGACCCACATTCCTCAGCCTAGCCGTCAAGTGATCTCCCAGCAGTACTTATCAACTATAATCGCAAATAACACAATGATGTTCTTATAATTTTTCAACCGTACAATCGCGCTAACGTGATTCGCTTTAGATTGGTTGATTACTTGACCTTCTGCACGGTAAAGTGGCAACTCACGTCGGATAGGTATGTGGTATTAAAAAATCGCCCGACGATGCGCAGTCGAAGTTTAATGCGGAACTGCCACTTTCTGAACTCAGATGCGCCAAGTGCCAATCAGTGTTTTCCAGAAAGATGTCGCTTAATGTGAATTCTGAAGATACTGATTGGTTAATGCGCATTTTTTCTCGTGAACAACCTGTAATAAGTACCAATCTCGGGAAGCCCCTAGAGCAGAGCTGTCTAACTTACTCTCCTCACACTAGTAACTTGAAAACAGCGTCCCCCTACTACTTCTACTTAACACGTTCGCTATCAGCGCTTATTTCGGTAACGCTCTCCTCAATTATATTTTCTTCAATCTAATAAATCTTCTAAACAAAATATTAGAAAAATGAAACTGAAACGAGCCATTGAATTCCAAAATTTAATGTTGTAGTTTATAATGTCTAATAACAATATTTATAGAATTAGTTTCACTTTCATTATGTAAAATATAGGATTACGGCCGTCACAAATGTGTGACGCTGGGCGAACATGTCACAGAGCTGCCCGAGACTGCGTATGTGAGTAGTTCTATGTAGTGTCCAACACACAGGTAAAATTAGATATCATTAGATGATATAACTTATCATTTGATTTCATACAATAAAGCTATAAAATTTGATATTTAATATTATACCTCGTATAATGCATCATTTTGAGAAATATTGAAATAAAATAGCTTTGTTCCTCAATATACGTGTGATTTCTTTTCGAATTAGATTCACGAAGTATCGTTTTTATCTCATCAGAAAATGTTAAAATATTTCTAGTGAAAAACTTCAGACTTCAAAGGGTTTGTAGCGGCTAACAAGCACGACATAAAGAAACATTTGGCGTGCAAACAGCTAGTATGGTTTATGACAAGCAGGTTAGCGATGCTACTTTTGAGAAAGCCGTTTTTAGAGAATTATAGCCAAGTTTGTTTTTCCTTTGACAATATTTGCAGACGGCCTCAGTAGCAAATTGCAGATGTTATAAACCATGAATTTTCGAAGGGATGCAAGGCATGGTCAAGCGATCCTCGGCGAGTGACGTCACGAGGCTTGGGCGCGGAGGAAATACCGCTGCGTTGCCAAACTTCCACTAAGGAATACTCCCCACCAAAGCGCACTGTCTTTCCACAAAGAACGCGCTAAGGGCGCAAGGAATAGGCGGTGATTGAAAATCATCGGAAGTACCTGATTGGTTAACGCCAATGTGCTGTTTAACCAATTAGGGAAAATTCACCATTTTGCCCTATGTGAAGCAGGGATAAAAAGACACTCGTAGTCAGTCGTAGTCAGTCGTAGTCAGTCGTAGTCAGTCGTAGTCAGTCGTAGTCAGTCGTAGTCAGTCGTAGTCAGTCGTAGT